TTTACAATGAAATTATCGGCCAAATAATTAGGCAAGAGAGTAGAGAAACATTAAGACTTTGGTAGTAACTACATTTCGTCTGTATATTTACGCATTGTTTTTGTTTTTGAGTCGTTCCAAGTGCCTGTGCGTTTGCCACGATGCGTCCGCTACAACACAACATTTGGCCATCCGACGCCAACAGAGAAGAAAAATCAAATGCCATTTAACCCAGGAGTAAATAATAGAATAAATTATTATTATTATGTGATCAGCGGAAATAACAGGGGTAATAAAATAATATGTGACTATAGGAATAGACAGGAGCCCAATAGGAATAAATAAACCATTTATTTATTACTGATCTAAAACCCATTTCTTCAACGGCCATGTCTGTGATGCACAGATCGAGTCATTAGGGCATCGCCCTATTTGAAGAATAGCTCTTGCCTCTGTAGGGTAAATAGTAGGCGTCCACTATGGTGGCCTGAATGCCATTAAATTCTTCACTATAAGTTGTAGCAATGCAAGGTGCATGCTGCCGTCTTAGAATTGGCATAAGAAGCAATCGAGCTTCTATATATTATATACGACGGCTTCGCATATTCAGTCTACGATCACTGGACAACGTGTGTCATACAACCTTCCCTACAAAATACTGGGCAGGTAATTCTGCAATAAATTGTCACATACGTGATAGCAGGGTGTATGATAGCCTTTTGCCAACATTTATCACATGCCCATACATTTCTACCTATCTTCTTGTAATAACAGCACCTCCACCATGAAAATTCCCAACAGACCGTAAGTAGTTTGACGAACTATTTGAGGCGCTTGAAGGCAGCACCCATGCATTTCGTTGACACTAAGTTCAACTATCCACTAAGCCTATTTGCTCCGCCTACACGAGCTAGTTAAGCCATTGACGCTCAAAATATAAGGAATTTCATTCATCGCCAATACGTTAATTACTGCTTGAAAATACACACAGGTTTGGTGAATAAGACAAGGGCGGGGAGAGCAAATAAGGAGAGAGAGGAGAGAAAGAGGGGGGCGAGAGAGTATAGGAGAGCGAGAGAAGCAGAAGAAGAAGAGTCAAGCGTAGGCAAGAAGGATGATGAGGAATAGATATCCAGATATAGATATAACATATTGATATAACACTGTTAATAACACCAAATATAAGAATATCTACCTCCCTTGATAATTATGATAAATATGTAAGAGTGTCATTCCGCCACAAACCGTGCCCGTGAGACCCCGGT